ATGTTATGAATCCTTATTTCTGAAATGTTCAGAAAAGGGAAAACCATAAGGGCACAAAGTAGGTTAGTGATTACCTAGGGCTGGGATGTGGGATTAAAATTTGGAGAGCAGGATATTATATTTGTTGCTTTAAAAAATATTTTATTGCTGGGCCGTGGTGGTACATGCCTTTAATCCCAGCACTTGGGAGGCAGAGGCAGGCGGAGCACAAGTTAGAGGCCAGCCTGGTCTACATAGCAAGCTCTAGGCCAGCTGGGGCTACAGGGAGACCCTGTCTCAAAAAAGCCAAACATATTTTTGTATTTTTATTTTATGTGTTATCAGTGTATTGCCTGCATGTGTGTCAGTGCACCCATTTCGTGCAATGCCTGAGAACGTTAGAAGACAGCACTGGGTTCTTCTAGAACTCGAGGTACAGATGGCTATTAAACACCATGTAGGTGCTGGGAATTGAACCTGGGTCCTCTGCAAAGGCAGCCAGTGCTTTTAACCACTGAGCCAACTCTCCAGCTCCTATTTGTTGCTTTTTGTGGTTAAGACCAAAATAGTTGGCAAAAAACACTTAAAGAAATGAGGATTTATTTGAACTCACGGTTTCAGAGGGTTCAGCCCATGGCTACTTGGCCTGATGTACTTAACCAAACATCTTGGTAGGAGGGTATGAGGAAGGAGCTTCTTCATGCTCAGTGTAGATCCAAAGTAGAGAAACAGGAAAGGACCTAGGGGCAGAGTAACCTCAAGGATCTTCCCCCAGTGGACCTACTTCCTCCAGCCAGGTCCCACCTCCAAAGGTTCCAGGACCTCCCAAAATAGGTCCACCAACTAGGGACCTAGGCCCCAGTCCATGACCCTTTTGGAGGGGGCATTTCACACCCAGACCATAACAGGAAGTGGCTCCCAATGGGCACACAATTCCTTTTGAGGGTGATAGAGTATACCAAAACTGATTGTAGTGATATTTGTACAATTACAAATGTGTCTAAATAAATAAATAAATAAATCACTGGAAGCTGATGAATTAGTGGTATATGTATTAAATCTCAATAAAAGCACTTAAGAATGAAAGTGAAAAAGGATGAGTTTCTAGCAATAACAACTGTCACAAGTAGGTAAAACTAGAGCAACAAGAAATGGAGGGGAAAAAAAAAACTGAGCTTTGGATACATGGAGCAGCTGTGAAGAGCATACACTGAACACCACACCTGGCCTGGAAGGGAGGGCAGGCTGCAGGGGGTAATGGTAAGAAGCTTCGACTTGCTGGACAGGGACTATGGGCTGGGTGCTGTAGGTATACTATTTATGCACACTGCTGGGAAGCTGCACATGTGTGCTGCTCGCTGCTTCTGCCCCCTCTTCCCTGTGCAAACCACTGCGGAGGGGGGGTGCTTCTCTTACTGCTGGATCTCAGCACCCTTGGTACAGGTTGGAAGAAAGCTGCACACAACCTTTACAGGATGAATAAAATGCAGTATCTTTTAACCTTGCCAACAAGGGGCAGTGGCTACATAGTGCTATAGTCTCTTAATCTCTCGGAACAGATTTGGAATGAAGAAAAGCACTAAAGGTCATATAAACCCAATTTCTGCAAATTTACAACAAATGACAACTGTGTTAGATACCAGGGCTAATACAATGATTAGCCCAACAAGACCTGGAATAAAAACACACTTAAAACAATCCATAGGGGTTGGAGAGATATTTCAGTGGGTAAAGGCTCTTGCTGCCAAGCCTCCCTGGGACCCACATACATAGTAGAAGGAAAGAATCAATTCCAGCAAGTTGTCCTGTGACCTCCACATTCATGCCTCAGTGTGCATGCACACACACACACACACACACACACACACACACACACACACACCATAGATACAGCTGAAAAAATTTTTCTTTAAATTGCTCACATCCTTGCCAGTTAAGGAAGATCTTTCCCATATATTATCATATCAAACCTCTTTACCCCTAACAAGGGGGTTTCATTGCTATCCCAATCAGGTTTCTGCCTGCACGAAACTACACATTCCATGATGACCTCCATGTCGCTAAACGGAACAGCTAGTCCACTGCACTTGAATAAGCAGCTGTTGACACAGCTGATCACTTGTACTTGGCTTTCAAACCACTATTTTCTCCACTTTTCTGTTTTCTCCTTTGTCTCCTTAATTCCTGCCCTTGTCCAGGAACTTTCAAACTCAAGCCCAGAGCTCAGTCCTTGCTCACTTCTTGATCACTCTCATGCCTTAACTACTATGTTATAATGACACTGGAAGTTCTCTCTCAGACTCTGCTCTGAACCCCACTGTCAAACTCCCAAGTACAGAACCACTAGAACAGGCTGTCATCTCCAAGCCAACATGTGCAAAAAGGATGTCTTGATTTAAACCCCTTAACGTCACCTTTGATGCATTTCTTTTACCCTATGTCCCATCTATCAGGAAATTCTGTTGGATCTACTTTTAAACTATATGAGAATTTGACCACTTCCTGCTGCTTCCTTCATTGCTACTTTGGTGTTAAGTCATCATCTTATTTTACATGGAGTCAGACAGAAACTTCCATGTAGAGGGTCCCTCTTCTAACCTTGGTGTTCCTGGATCTACTCTCAACATGGTAAATAGAATTATCCTTTGAAATCTCAGGCATCCCATGTTACTTTTCTGTTCAAAACCCTGTGCTGGCCCATTTAACTTACAATATACACAGCAGTCTGTAGGTCCTCCTGATCTTACCATCTTCCCTTCCTCTACTTCCTAAATCACAGGGCTCATGAACACAGGCCTTGCTGTTCTTGGCTTGGGACTGGTGAGCACACATCAATCATCACATGCTGGAATGCTCCTCAGGGCTAACATTCTCACCTCTTACCATTCTGTTTAAAATTTCCCTTCCTAATGCAGCCTGCCCTGACTACTGTGCTTGGCGCCACAAACCTTTACCCTTCCATTTAGGTTACTTCTTCTGTCTAGATCATCTACCGCCTTCTAATTCATAGCATACAGATGTTTTCTATTTTATTTGATCCCCTCCATTAGAATTAGCAGTCTACAAAGGTGGGGCGTTTTGCTTTGCTCACTGATGGTTTCCAAACTGGCTGAAAATTGAGGTCCTTAGGAAGGTTAGACTTGCACAAAGTTCTGAGTCAAAACATGTCTGAGCAACAATTTGAACTTCAAACAAAATTCAAGTTCTTTCCATATAGTTTTTCTACTCCTTGACCAGAAATTAGTGAATCCTTCAAAGAACTCCAGGCTGCAAAATGCTTCCTGCCACCAGCAGCATCTTTCAGCTGTTAGGATCCACCCTTTCCTTCCTTCTCAGTTCTATGATTGCCCATTTCCTACTGAAGAACGTTAACCTCTTACTTTGGCCTCTTAGATCTGCCATAGCTGAACTGAAAACAGCCTCCCAGTCCAGATTACTGTCAGTTTCCACCATCAGAGGTAATCCACCAGGACAAAGTCCTCTGCTTGATTTAGCCCATTGTTTCTCTGTACATATTTTGAATAGAAGTTGAATGCTTCTCAAAAACACCTGTAGAACATCCTTAGGCCCTGGGTGAGCACTTTAAGCATATCAGTTCTGTTCCAATTTCTCACAATAGGATTAGCTGGATATTTATCTGAAAGAAACAGATAAATATCCAGCCCCTGAAGCTTGTCTGGGACCTCACAACCTAAAATACTGTGTTTTCGCCTCTCATGACCTTATCAGAAGCGCTTCCCTTTTCTTCCTTAAGTTTTCTGAATTTTATTTGCCATCTCGTCCTACAATTCTTCCTGCCTTCCTTTCTTGCCTTCCACTCACAACTAGGCCCCTTTTATCCCACAGGCCCATAGTGAGGCATTGAACCTGCACATGGGAGGTCAGCCATACCCTAATCTGGTTCCCCTGTGCCCCCACTACTGTAAAACTAAGGAAAATACTTCAGGCAAAAATGTAAGGGGGTACCGTGACCAAGGTAAACATTAAAATAGGATAATGTTATTTTTTTAAACACCAAAATTGGGGCTGTAGAAATGATTCAGTTAGGTTATGATCAGTCTTTCAGAGGGCCAGAGTTTGACTCCCAGCACCTATGCCCAGAGGCTCACAACTATCCATAACTCCATCTCCAGGGAACCCTACCTTCTGGCCTCCTTGGGCACCTCCCGCATATGTACATACACTCAAGACACAGTCTCTCTCTCTCTCTCTCTTTCTCTCTCTCTCACACACACACACAAATAGAAGTAAATTCTTAAAAAAATTCTTTAAAAAAAACTTTAAAAAAATTAAAATACTAAAAATAATGCAAAACCCATGATTAGCAAAGTAACAGAATTTCAAAGACAGAGCTCTTGGCATTCCTGCCTTAGCTGGGGACTCAGGAGCACCACCTTTGACCCTGCATGGCCTACTCTGGGCACCTGGGAATTCACACTTCCAGGTTTAAATAAAAGCTGGGTACAGAGGGTGCTTGCGCGCCGGTGCGTGCAGTGGTGCGTTACACAAGCGTGTACGCACGCCTCTGGTCCGGCTCCTCTTTGTAAGTCGTGGCTGAGGTCTCCTCCGCAGAGTTCACACCTTGAATTCTGGTCTGACAGACAGGAGCACCTGCAGGGGCTGTGTAGATTAAACTAAAGATAACCTCTCACACTATGCAGCTGAGGCACACCAGTCTTACACTCCAGCTGCCGCTGCCGGGGAGGCCACGGACAGCTACGTCACCAAACACCCCGCCCCCTTCGCCGCCCCCCGCCCCGGTCAAAGCCGGACCCTTCCGCCCCCCTCAGAGCCCTCGAGTCAGGCTGCAGGGGGCCTTAGAGGGCAGAGGCGGAGCCGCATCTGTGCCCCGCCCCTCGCGTGCTCTGCGAGCACCTGCCCCGCCCCCTCACACCTCCTCGGGACCGCTGCCCCGCCCCGGCCGGTCATAATTAGGCAGCCGGCTTGGACTGCCGCGTCAGCGCCCCGCGTGGGCCAATCGCGGGCGCTCCTGGGAGGTCGCGTCACAGGCCGAGCAGCCAAACAGAAAAGTTTAATAAACAGCGGACCGAGGGCTGGCTGCGGCGGGCCGGGAGCGAGCTGGGGTACGGCGGCCTCACCTGTCCCCTCTCAGCGGCGGCGAGTGGCGGCAGCGGCAGCAGCAGCGCGTCGGGCGG